GAGAGAGGCAGAGAGGGAGAGAGGGAGAGAGGGAGAGAGGGAGAGACGGAGAGAGGGAGAGACGGAGAGAGGGAGAGACGGAGAGAGGGAGAGAGGGAGAGAGGGAGAGAGGGAGAGAGGGAGAGAGGGAGAGAGGGAGAGAGGGAGAGAGGGAGAGAGGGAGAGAGGGAGAGAGGGAGCATGCATCTGTTGCAAAGCTGAACCACGCCCCAAAAGTTAAAGGCGTTGTCCCTCAACTCGCACATTCGCACTTCAAACATCATGCCCTGAGACTGAGCCACTGAGGGTGCTCCATATGGTTCCTACCCTGCACGGGGATGGCTCCGATTCGAGCATCAGAATTGCTTACAGAAATATCCTGGCTAGATCCTCATGAGCTTGCGGGGTTGGGATGTGCCAGTTCGGTCTATTGCAGCGTCACCACAGCATGTCTCTCTGTTTCGGGTTCATGCTTTGAGGCAAGTGGCCGTTGCAAAGACGATAGCGCTTTGTGGTTGGCAGTGTTGCGTTGGGATAGGGCAGCTCTTTGCCATCATACTTGACCATCCAGTGCTTCTCCCTGCCGCAACAAAGTGTAAGACAAATCCAAATCAATCTACAATAGCCTTAAAAGGAAATGATCTTAGTTCTTGAGCAAAGTAAGACATTCTGAAAGCACTCAAGGTGAACTTGTCAGTCTACGTTTGGCTGAAGACAGCCCTCCCAAACCGCGAACCCTAACCGCTCAAAGCTAGATATCAGAGACTAAACCCTACTTGAATCCTTTCGAGACCTTTTAAGCCTTGGTGGGTCTTGAGCCGCGAAGCTTCTAAATCTTCATGTCGGAAAGCCAGGTCGAAGTAGTGGCTTTCAATTTCATGTGTATCCCTTGCCATATATGGTTGTGTTCCGGCAGACCTGTGTCCCCTCCTCTCCCCCGTTGTGGTGTGGGTGTGGGTTCGTTTTGGGGTTTCGGGTTCTAGCCCACTTCATCCAGCACACCACCCCTAAACCCAAAACCCTCACGCAACCAATATACCCTAACCCCTAAATTAAACCTACAACCCTAACCTGCACCCTAAACAACCCTTGACACGCTTAAACGCCTGCAAACCCGACAATGCCTTGAAAACCCTAAAACCCTAAACCCCTAAACCCCTAAAACCCTAAAACCAAACCTTAAATTGCCCAATCTTTTATGACCTTGCCCAATCTTTTCATGACCTTGCCCAGTCTCTTTACGGCCTTGCCCAATTCTTTTGTGAACATGGGCAGGGTCATAAAAGGCTTGGGCAAGGTTATAGAAAGATTGTGCATAACATCGTGGGGCAAGGTCATGCAAACATTGGGTAAGGTCAAGGGGGCGCCTTTGCACCTAAGGCCAGGGGACTCGGGTACAAGGCTAGGGGCCTAGTGCTGGGGGCTTTCGGGGCTTGCGGGGCTTGGGTTTCTGCGCGAGGCTTGTTTTCACATCTTGGTGGTCTGAGATGCGATGTGGGGGGCTACGAGATGCTGCACCTACACATTCACCACCAGCATTTAAAAAACGCCACCCTAGTATTAGTACATCGGCGATAGGAGTACCCTGCGAATCGTATCATGAAAGCTTCGGACGACATCTGCCTGGTCCAGTTGCTGGGCCTCCGGATGTACTGGAGGTACCAGGGCTCCCCGTCCTCTGCGCTCTTCAACAGGAGAAGGGAGAAGGGAGGGGGGCGGCTCAGAGCTTCTCTTTGCTAGTGTGCTCTTTTTAGGAGATGAGCTGAAGGCACCGAAGGGGGCGGTCCACCTTAAAAAAAGGCACTGCTCAGTCCTGATGAGGGAAGAACAGCTCGAGGTGCCTGAACCCCTCCAGATCAAAGAGCGCCTAGACACAACTGGGAATGCCCATATATGCCCATCGCCTCAACGACCCCAAACTAGAAACTGTACATTCGCAACCCTACATTCCCTGAACTCCCTAAATCCGAAGCTCAGCTCAGCAAACACTCGACTCTACAGAGGACAACACGAAGGCTCCGCAGCCAAAGGTCGGACCATGGCATGCCCTCAAAGTCCAGGCTGCCCATGGCGTAGAACTGGGCAGCAGAGGCAGCAGAGGGACCAAAAGGATTTTCGGGCCTTTCCCCGGCAACCCTAAGAGGGCTTTGGGCTAAAGAGACCCACGCCCCTCCCAAAGTCCCTCCAATCCCTCCAAGCGGCATACCACGTATGCATTTGGTTGATGGCATGGACGAAACTGAAGCGCGAGATCGCCCGTTGAATCCAGAAGTGATCTTTGTAGAGTTCCTTGAGTTCAACAGGGTTTCGGATTCGGGTTTCAGGGATGCTACATGTTGTCGAATTCAGGGTTCAGGCCCATGCTTAGGGGCTTGTATCCGCAGCGTCGAGAAACAGTGACAGAACTGCTACCTAAACGTGGTGGAGCGAAAACACACCAAAGCAGCATCAGGTTCAATGTTGAAGTCAGTCCAGTCGTTCATGATGTCAAGGCTCAGCACGTTACCTTCAGCAGCGACAAGGGGTTCTTCGAGCTGTTCATCATTGAGCCCAACATGGGCAACAACCCACTTCAGGTTTTCCGGCAAACTTCTTCACTTCGAGCTATTCCCACTACCAGTTCTCCAAAGGGACAGACATGGTGTGTGTGTGAGAGAGAGAGGGGCTTGCGTCTCAAGAGCGATAAATGGATTAAGAAAGCAACGGTCAAAAGATATCATGAGAGGTTGAATGAGAAGAACAAGCACTGCAACCGTTCTGATGATGATTACAAGAAAAACCGTAAGTTCCATGAGTGGTAAAACAATAACAAGGAACACTCAAAAACACGAATCGTCAAAACACCCAAGGATGTATGGAGAGAAACAACAACACCATCAGAATCAAAACCACAAGTAAGAAAATTTTAAAAATTGATGATCCTGAGTGCCGACGAAATTTTGGAAAAATGAATTACATCATCTTGGTTCTCCACAGGCACCGCATGAAGCTTCTTACGGAAAACTGGAAACTATCAACGCATATCGATGCATAGTGCTTGTACTCAACAAACTGACCATCTTATCAACACTAAAAATCGCCCTATCACGTGGTGCTGAGTAAGTTTAATTTTAAAAGCAACTATAATTCTGAAAACTTCGCCTTGAGTTGGTGCTTTGCTTCTCAACCCAGGTCCGTGTTGCATTGCAAGGCGGCTGCTTCACAACAACTTCTGGCACGTCCATAAACCCGATGATTGCGTTCCCTGCTTTCAGGTTTCGAGGGTGGCCTAACAGGATGGACGCCGGGGAGGCGTTGCAATTACAAGATTTTACAGGACTGTTTAACAGCAGACACGTAGCATTGACCCACATACATGTAGCAGAGAGAGGGAGAGAGAGAGAGAGAGACTTTCGGACGATTAAGCAGACAATGGTGGACAGAGCGATAGTACTGAAAGGTGCGTTCAAATTTGTTCCAGTTCACAAAAATCACAAACAAATGAAGAACTCACAAAAACGAGAACGCTGTGAAGTCAAGGCGATCTCGGAATTGAATGACAGTTTTTCAGAAAGTATCCACATGTAGAAGAAGGAGATAGCCTATCTCAGATAAGTTGAGAGCAATGGTCAAAGGAAAGCACAACTGCACAGCCGTAACCAGTAAAGCGAACAAACACTCAGGCAAGGAAATCGGACAAGACCTGCAACTCAGCAAACTCTGCGTGATAAGGGCAAAACGAAGAAATACAACAGGCATGAGATTTTGTTAGAAAATTGAGAGTGGATAACGAAGAAAAGCCTGATAATACAAAGGGAAAAGAATACTATAGATACCAAAACAAGTTAAAGAAACTACCGAAATGAATGACGAAAATGAAGCGGAGGTAAATAGAATTCAAAAGTATACAACCCTAATCTTCCTCGAAGAGGGCTAAGCCAAACCAACAACACCTGCAACCTTGGCGGACAGCCACGGCTAAGCAAAGAATAATAAAATACATGTGCAAAGCCACGAATAAGCCAAGAACAACATGCATTCCCCTTGCAGCCCCCAACCATGAAAGGAACGAAAATGCATAAATGAAAATACGGAGATAGGGCGGAGGCAAGAAACAAATAAGGAAGCCAAACCCCGACACCAAGCTTGAATAGACATAGGCATAGGCAACGCAACTTGCAGTTATGTATTTACCTCCTCCTGCTCCTGACTTCTTCAATTTCGTCTTTCCAGTTCCTGATGCGTGTTGTTGCATTCTGGACTTGTTTCGGCCCCAATTTTTTGCAGTTCCTTAATGACCGCGCTGTGTCTTTGATTCGGCCGTTCCTTTTTGTAGTTAGTAGTTCCGTACTGACATGGTCTGACCGACATGCCGCAATGGTTCTGCGGCTCGTCAGAATTGGTCTCTACTGCGACTGGGACTTCGACGGCGACGGCGACGGCGTCGGCGGCGGCGGCGGCGGCGGCGACGACGACGACGACGACGACGACGACGACGACGACGACGACGACGTCGACTACTACTACTACTACCACTACTACTACTACTACTACTACTACTACTACTACTACTACTACTACTACTACTACTACTACTACTACTACTACTACTACTACTACGTCGTACTACTACTACTACTACTACTACTACTACTACTACTACTACTACTACTACTACTACTACTACTACTACTACTACTACTACTACTACTACTACTACTACCACAACGACAACTACTACTACTAACTACTACTACTACTACTACTACTACTACTACTACTACTACTACTACTACTACTACTACTACTACTCCTGCTACTACTACTACTACTACTACTACTACTACTACTACTACTACTACTACTACTACTACTACTACTACTACTACTACTACTACTACTACTACTACTTGCGTGGCTCTTCTTTTGTTCATTTCGTGAGCTATGTGTTCATGCTCCCTATTTCTCTCGTTATCTATTTACTTCCTGAGTTATGTCTTTGCATTACTGTTAATGTATGTAATTCTCATGTTTTCGTTTGTTCTGTCTTTTCTCTCCTTATCTCTCACCAAAGGCCAAAAAAGTAGGATCCAGCAGCATATGGCACAAAGAACGAAAGACACGGAAAACAGCAGACCTCATCTTCTGGGTTGCTTTACTCGATGGTTCTCATTGCTACAACCGCTGGCTCAGCGTTCTCGCTTACGGAAAGCGAAGCATTTCGGGGGCTTTGGAAAGGATCCCCCGCCATCCCGAATCCTCGCACAAAAAACAACTTGTTGCGAGGCCGCCCATGGAGGCCAGCGCGCAGTAGGTGAAGGGGCCCCAAGGTCGATTCTTATCCCAACGATCGCGCCAGGAGATTTCCCCTTGACATCCTCTTGGCAGAAAGGGCGGGACCATGACCTGGGGAACAAAAACAGGTTGGGTGGGTTGGGGAGTTGCCCAGAGGGGCTTAACAAAAAGAGCCTTCAGAACTCGTTGAAACAATGACCTGCAAGAACCCCATTTTAAATTTTCCTAAGTATTGCACTACCAGGGCACGACAACATCCCCCTCGGCGAAGCCAGCGGCTGGCACCTGCTCTTTCTCAAGCCACCTGCGGAATACGAAGAAGTTCAGCACATTCCTGGAGCGCATGGAGCGCAGCATCAGGTTTAGGCGTGAGGGTACCAGGGGTTTTGAGGGGAACTCTCTTTTTGCATACAGCTACTCGTAGTTACGTCACTGTGTTCGGAGAGTGTTTCTGTAACCCCGACTATGGAATGTCGTGTGGCCCTGGGAAAGTGCAGGTTCTGAAGGCTTCAGAGTTGAAACCTTGAGGTTGCGTTCTAGGCATCGAAAAGATCTTGTTTTGCGGTGAACTCCCCTTCTACCCAGGCACCACTTCTCGAAGGGCTCCTTGAAGCCGTGGGCGACCTTTATGTTGTCCTGCGGCCCGGACTTCAGGACTCAGACCCCAAACAACCCTCGAACCAGTCCCGAACAAAGCCCCCTTTCGCCCCAAGCCGCACGAAGCCCTCAGCACCAGAAACTTTGTTGCAGCGCGCGATGGTTTCAACTCAAGCGCTTCGCCCACTGAAGAGTGAGGGGACTAGGGCTTGCAGGTTCTGCGGTTTAGGATTTGGGGCGGGTTGGTCTCTTCTTTTCGGGGGTTCAGGTGTTATTAACTGCTCGGGCTCGCGGCCAGGCTTCTCTTCAAGACTCAGGATGCGGGGCTTCTTCAAGCCAGCTTCGGGCTTCAGGATTCTAAGGCTTCTAGACTTTTGGGGCACCAAACCTTCCGTCTTCGAGATGGGGCTTCAACGGCCCACCCTCAAACTCTCAAGACTCCAATCCCCTAACCCGCCTCGTACAGCTTCCTGATGGTCCAGAACTTGTCGTCCACCTCAGACTTCTCATGAAAAAGCATCTGCCATTGCGAGGCTCAGGGTTTTTGCAGATTTGGGGGCAGAGAAAACCAATAAACCCAGAAATATTGGGATTGGAAGAATTGCGAGTGTTAGCAAGTGGGGGCAACATGGTCCTTAAGGAAAGAGCCATTCTTGTAGGGTTGCGCCCCACATGGATCAGAGGTGCATAGTCGAGGAAGCTGTGCACGTGCAGCTTCGCAGCGAGATCTGCAGGCAACTTCTCCTTCAAGGCACTTCCGGCCACGGGGTCCGTGAGGAGGACCACCACAGGGACCTCGTCAGCAGCTGTCAGCAGCCCGACGGCTGATCAAAACTTCAGGGGGCGACAAGCTGGCACCTCACTTCTCCTCCTTTCATGCTCGTATGAGTCGTATGACTGTTCTTTGGGGACAAGCCCCCGCCAACTAAGAGCCCTTTATCAGCAACATATTGGTGACTTCATGGATTTGTCGACAATCAAGCGGTTTTCCAGGCGTGGATGAGTGTGGGGGGGGCAGTGCGCTGCATTAACCCCTTCGTTGGAATCACACCCCCCCACCCCCCCCCCCCCCCCCCCCCCCCGCGCACACAACAAAAACAGGTTCTGAAAGGAAAGGACAGTCATCAACAATTGCTGATGGGATTCAAGCCCAACCAAACTCTTGTGGTCCTGGATTTTTGGCCCAGCTTGTCACAACAGATCCCTTAAAAAATTTCGCCGTCCCGAAAACATGCTCAAGTCCTGCACTCCTCTACTGCAGGACCTCCAATCATGTGATGCTCCCAAACTCCAAGGTCGTGGACTGGAATGTCAACAGGGACATTCCGGAGAGTGAAGCAACTGGCACATCAAGCACATCAAGCACCCTGTACCCTCCAGCTAAATGGGGCTTGCCGAACATACTAACAAAGAGACCCCCAAATAATAGGATTCCCTGATAAGAAGGCCCCCAATCATGTACCCTATTTTCGGAAACGCCCAAAAGTTTAAGCAAAGAAAGCACTGCCAGTGAACTCTGCCAGGGTGCGTGTAAAAGGCTTGCGGACACTGCCAGCGTGAAGTAGGGCTGGATAACGCACGGCTTCCTTGCAAGGCAAGCCAGAAACCCATAAAGCATAGGCAGGCGCGGGTTTCGGGCACAGGGTTGCTTCGGGTGCTTGAGGGCTTGGGGGCTTGGGGGTTGTGCACTCGAAAGCCAACCGAAAAGCCAACCGAAAAGCCAACCGAAAAGCCGACCTTATCGGCACGGTTTGTTTTCAAGCGACTCGGGCGAGTCGAGCTTGGAAAGCTCAAGGCTTCGGGTTCTGAGACTGTCAACGGCTAAACTCTGCAAAATGTTGCTTCCGCCAAGTCTCGTGATGTTCCAGGCCACCTTGCCCTGCTCGACAAGCATAACTTCCCCACAGAACCACACATAGACCAGAGGAATCACACCCGCGAAAAGGCCAGCTGAAGCTACAGGCCTATCCGGCGGATTTGTCGCCGGTGTGACTGCGGCGGGTGTGTCTGGAACAGGTGCAGATGCAATGGGCGCCAATGCCTGAGTGACTTGGGCAGCTTGGGCCTGCAGCGGTGCAGGCGCAGACGTCACCGGAGCGACTTGGATTTCGAGCTGCTCCAAGAAGCTGATGGAATGCTTTATGGCCTGTTGCTTCCAGACTTGTGGGATAAACAGCACCAGAGAAGCTCCAAGGATGAAGCAAGTCAAGGCGGTACATCGGTGCCCCACAACGCCGGCCATCTGAGCTACGGATACCTACGACCTCATTCAGTTCTTAGGTGGTGACTTGCGCGTTACGAAGGCTTACAATATCGGGCCTGACCCTTATGTCCAGCGCTTCTAGGATCAGTGTGGCGTAAGATGGCGTGCACGTCTCGTAGGTGGACGTGGCATTTGCACTTGAGGCAACATTCAGAAACATCATCGGCTCTCACCCTAAAACCTTACACCCGCAGCCGTAGAGACATCTTCGGCATGCTGTCCGCTTTCGAGCTCAGCTGGCCCCGGATTCGCTCCAGCGTTGTATTGTCGTTCCTGGAAGGCACTCGATCCTCACGTTCGTATTACCTCCATAAGCCTCTAAAGCAAACCTTTGGCAACACAGGCCTAAAGCATGCACCTGCTGCTGACTCCATATATGGAATTCCTTCGAGCTGATCCTCTGCACCAAGAGTCACTCAAAAACTTAGTTTATTTGCAGTTCGACAAGGTCTTCTGCTTTACACAGGGACAGACAAGCACTGGTTGACAGGCCTGACAGGCCAAACAAGGGGCTGTCAAAACTACTGCGACAGTAAGGCACTGAACTACGGTCTGCAGAGGTTTGACGGACGCAAGTGGACGCCGGCTGCTGAAGCTAGAGGCCACTCTGGCCCGCAAGGAAGGAGACCTGCGCCTGCAATTTTGCTCTCAAAAGACGCGGGCAGCCTGAAAGTTGACAGGCATTTTTTGTGGAACAACATGCTGGAAGGACAATGAATCCCTCTGTCTCTGAATCTCGGTCTCTCTCTCTGTCTCTGTCTCTCTCTCTCTCTCGCTCTCTGTCGTGTGAACAAATCATGTTGCAACGACTTTGAGGATCACCGGCTCCATACACTCAACTTGCCAGAAGGCTTCGGCTCCTCTGCCGAACGCACCTTGCCCCCTTGCCCGACTTCCGACAACCCTTACGCACACTTCTGAGGCCCGTCACTTCCTTCATTTGCGCTGTGAGAAGGAAATGACAAAAAAAACAAAATGACGTTCTGCAACGCATCGACAGGCTGGAAACATGGAAATGCACATAAATGACCGAAATGACAATAAGACAAGCCATCGCTTTTTCTTGCGGCGTTCATGTAAATGTCCTGCTGCAACACGTCGACACACAAAACAAAGGGTACGGGATTGACGGGCCAAGCTTTTGAGGGACTGCATTGCGGTTGCCTGCGAACATGTAGTTTAAGTTTTGCATGATTGCGCACATGTTTCAAGATTTTGTGTTTTTCCCATTTTTTGCACTCGAGCTTGTGCGAAGGGACAGAACAGAAATCTCTGCGTTAGAGAAGTGGAAACTTTCTCAACGACGAGCTTAGCTACGCAAAAGCCTGGATGTACCTTCCTTCCCGCGTGCTGGTTCACATCAGCAGTGAGGGTTAACTCCAACTCTCAGGTTTGGAGGAGTTAGGGGGCGGTTAACTGCGCGGCACTACTTTTCGCTCACGGCTAGGGCCCAACGCCTCCAGATGCAACAAGTAACAAACAAAAAAACAATGTAAAACGACCTCGGTACATATATAGTAGGTCCTCTCCAATGTGAGTTTCACACCCGTCGTATCTCCGAGTCGCATCGACTCCATGGAGTGTCACACATTCGCGACACACTTCGGAAGATATCCGTAGCCACTCATTCGCCCACATCCCGGGGTTAGTCATACATTCATCGCGGAGTGAAGAGAACATCCGCAGCCATTGTCCATTGTAAGTAGGGAAAGACCACAATGCGGGATCACCATCGGATCATGTAGGAGAATGGCCCCCCCCTTTGGACAAAGGGGGCTTAAGCCCCCCTTTAATGAAATTTACAAGATGTTCAGTGTGATCTCAGGTCTGCAATCACTCAGCTCAACAATCACAAGCACCAAAGCAAGCTGTGCATCAATCACTTGAGTCTCCAATGTTTTGCACCTTGAGCCAAAGTCAACCAGTCGTGGCAATGCCTCAGGCATCACTCTGGATGCAACGCTGATCTGATCAACATTCCTAACATCGTCCCTTGGACTCTTGCTGTGCCACATCAAGATCAGATCGGTACTGAATCGAGCCATATGGAGTAAAAACAATTGAGTTTTCGAACGAGGGAAGATACGAAGACCAAACAAAACTACCAATCAGAGGCATGCACTCACTCAAACCATTCTGGAGGCTCAATGGTCCTTTGCTTCAGATGCTCGAGATTCGAGAATGCAGTCATTGTGTCATCCAGGAAAATCAATCTCCGTCGGTATCAAATAAGTGGTAACAGCCCTTTTGCAAGCCAATCTGCAGCCAAATGGCTGTGATGCAACTCACTGCATCTCAATGGGCACCTTTAGGAGGAATGACTGTTGTCGAATCCGAGGGTTGGCAATGCAAGCTTCTGCTCAACATCTGGCTTGCAAATATCAATTGTGTTTGGACCGACATATCGACAATCATCAGAGAGCCTCGGAATGCACGGCGGAACGCAGCAATGGCGAAGCCGAACCAGGCGATGTGGGCCAATGTCACGCGCTGCGCCTGCGACAACGCGTTCATGTCCGCAAAATCCACCAATTCTTGGGACTATCAAAGCGTTTCCATGTGTTTGTTTCCGCTTCTTTTTGGAGAGAGTTATTCCGCAGCAAAAATCGCGACCCTTACGCCCATGGGCTTCTGGGTCCGGAAGCAGCCTATGGCCACTCCCAATTCTTGGCCAGTGCCTGCAAATTGTAAACGTTATCCAAACGGTAGGTTCCTGCGCTTAGGTTGCTTATTGCGCGCTTTCCTTGGTAAGAGAGAACGCCAAGGAAGTGCTTTGTGCGTTGAACGCGAGCTTTACCCTTACAGCACGTATCCGCGTGCTGGATCGGACTTAGCAGTCTTTTGTGACAATTGACATGTCAAGAACCAAAAAAATAAACTTTTTTGATGCTTTGGCCCCAATATGCAAGAAAACAAAGTAACAACTCTGTCGGAATCACCAGGTAAAAGACTTTGCAAATGCAGTCTGTAAAATCGCACTTTAGAGCAGCGTTTCCTCGCTTGTTTCTTTCTCTTGTCTCTTAAACAGCTCTGTAACTGCATTTCTGAAGTTGTCTAACCGGGGTAGACCGACATGTAGCGTGAAGTCAGCGTGTCAAAGAACATGAAGAGTGACAAGACATGCGATCCCAGCATAACTGCGGTGCAAGCGAAAATGCATCAACACTCGGACATTATTCCTTCTTTTTGCGCTCGCACCTTCTTGAGTCTGCTCGGTTTCTGGTTAGAAGATGGCGGGGGTAAAGACAGCAGGTGGCAGATGGAACACTCATCCTCTCACCTGTCCGCTGTTGCTCAGCAGCATCTCGTTTCCCCCCCCCGGGTGGGTGGGTGGGTCACAAAGAAAATTTGACGCTCTGACACGTGTGATAGGCCAGAGCTGTACTGGCTTCAGCGGCAAGCTCAAAGTCAACATGCATCAAGGGTAAATCCAAAGCATGGAAATCGATGTGCAGCATGTACAAGAAAATAAAATAACTTCGGGCAGGAGGTGCGGGGCACAAGAGATGGTCAAGTTCTTAAGAGGTGAGTTTTTGTGTACTTTCATTTTTTACAGTCGGTTGCGCTCCGTTCCTACGCCAACCCCAGTAGACTGCGGCACCTGCGAGCAGGCACCCAACGTCTAACCGGGGTAGACCGACATGTAGCGTGAAGTCAGCGTGTCAAAGAACATGAAGAGTGACAAGACATGCGATCCCAGCATAACTGCGGTGCAAGCGAAAATGCATCAACACTCGGACATTATTCCTTCTTTTTGCGCTCGCACCTTCTTGAGTCTGCTCGGTTTCTGGTTAGAAGATGGCGGGGGTAAAGACAGCAGGTGGCAGATGGAACACTCATCCTCTCACCTGTCCGCTGTTGGGGAAGCCCACCATTCGCAGCTGCTCCTCATAGAAACGAAGCGAATCCGTCATCTCGGACCAGCTACTGGTACGCCCATGGAGTACCAGATACTCCCGGGCTTGCTGGGATACTGCTTGCAGCAGTACCGCCGCCCGATCCCCTGCAGAGATCTTCAAGTCTGCAAACTGAAGCAGCTTGGCATCGCCTTTGGAGAATTCATCTTCCAGATACCGAACCACGTCCAGAGGCCTCTTCATGCTTACGCATCGAAGATGAAGTTTCAAAAGCTCATCCCTGATGTACACAGCCTCCATTCGACTGTTCACAGAGTACTGCCGGTAGAGCTCCCGGACACTCTCATATCCAGCAGCGGCATTCCCTTGTCTCATGGACACACTTCGAAGCACTTCCATGCCTCGGTCCCACTTTCCCAAAGCTTGCTGCAAAAGGTAAAACAGACGAGCACTTCTTCCAGCTGTGTCTCGAGGTAGAGTCACCTGCTGAATCTCCGTCTTGACAAACAAACACTCACGAAGTTCACTGACGTAAGCATCATCCGTCAAAGCAAGCCAACTGGAAAGAACTTCAAGGAAACGATGCCACTCTTCCAGCTCTCTAATCCGGCCTTTGCTCATCTCCTGTCCATTGATGACAGGCAGAGGGGGCAGGTACTTCTCAGCCCTGCTCGTAAAACTCTGCGAACCCGAGGCTACTCCACTTGATGGAGCAACAGGGGCACCTGAAGGTGCCGTCGAACTTGAAGTAGCAGTTGGAGCCCCAAACGGGTTGGGCGTGGCTGCTTTCGCAGTCTCCTCCTGCTTTCGTCTTTCATCTTCGGCATCCAAACGGCGCTCCATGAGCCTCAAATGAGCCTGCTGTGCTTCTAACAGCTGCTGCATCTGAGTCTGCTGCTGCTGCATGGCTACCGTCTGGTTCTGAAGCATAGCCATCAGAAGCTGCTGTACCTCAGTCGCCCCAGAACTGGTTCCAGGCGTCACTGGACGTTGCCCAGCACTCGCTGCACCAACTTCTGGTGGCACAATAGGTTCAAACAGCTCCGGGTCGTACTCTTCGGCTCCCGGCACAGGAACCTGGCTCCCACTCGGCGAGCCGGCTGGACTTCCACCAGCTTGTTG